AAAACGGAGGTGAGGAAGAAAAAGATGGTCTCCAGTCTCTGATTTCCCACCATGAAGGCTGCAGAGCTCTATCTGAACCTGGACCTAGTCAAGGAAGCCATCGATGCTTTCATTGAGGGTGAGGAGTGGAACAAGGCCAAGCGAGTGGCCAAGGAGTTAGATCCCCGGTGAGTTCCTATGCCCCTTCTCTCTGGGAAATTTTACTTCCTTTTGTAAAAAGTGGGAGAAAGTTCTCATGGGAAGGGTGTGACCATGAGACTACACCAGGACCATGAAGTATTTTATCTCTGTCCATCTTCACAGGTATGAAGACTACGTGGACCAACATTATAAAGATTTCCTTAAGAACCAGGGAAAAGTGGACTCGGTGAGACCTGTGGAGTTAGCAGGAGACAGAACACACACAGAAACTCAAGAGATTCTCTCCCTCTTCTCCCCTTCATGTCATCTCCTCTCTTTTCCATTGATCCACAGCTGGTGGGTGTAGATGTGGTGGCTGCTTTGGACCTGTATGTGGAGCAGGGCCAGTGGGACAAGTGCATTGAAACAGCTACCAAGCAGGTACTGCTCTCTTATTCCCATTCCTAGCTCTTCTGAACAAGTTTCCTGGACTCTACACCTGCCCCAGAGCTCTCTCTCCTACTCCTCTAAACCCAAAAGATGACTAATCAGCATCAAAGAGCTTAGTCATACATTGGGGTCAGAGGCCAAGCTGGCCTTTTGCCTCCTAAACAAATCCACAGCCTCTAGTCACCACCCCACCCTCACTGCCTGGTCTGATTCCAACCTCCCCCTTGCTTTTCCTCCACCCCTGGAACAGAACTACAAGATTCTGCACAAGTACGTGGCTTTGTATGCAACTCACCTGATCCGAGAGGGTGACTATGCCCAGGCACTGGCTCTGTACGTGCAACACGGAGCCCCTGCTAACCCACAGGTACCAGCTTGCTCCTTGAGATGAATGTATCCCTCAGCCAACTGTTTCCTTCTCCTTGAGAACCACCTTGCCCTCTGGAACTGTCTTTGTTACGGATTCTTTGATCAGCAGCATGCCCAGAAACCCCACCCAGTCTCTTCCAAAATGTACAGCTCTTTTGGAGGATTTACCCACTGAAGAAGCACCAGCTTTCTAAGCTTTTAGCCAACACACAGGGAACAGGAAGGGCCTAGGAGCTTGGGAGGGAGGAAAGTAATGGTAACCAGCTGGAGGGGGGATGGGGGCGGGAAGGGGTAAGAGGGAGGGAAAGGCACAGGTCCTTGGTTGTAAGGGTTTAGGGTAGAGATCTTAGGGGAGGTCCCAGGGGAAGATCTCAGATGCAGCAGCTTTCCAGGTGTGTCTAGTTCGCCACTGATCTTCAGCACCTGGGGATGGGGGTTCATTATCCAATGCAGCTGGACCTGAGGTCCCTGCACACAAGGCGAGGGTCGATTCCCCCCGTGAATGAATGAACAGGGCTCTCCTGAGCATTAACAGCTCACAAATATTAGCCCATTCACACTGATTGCATTCACATTCACATATTTACCGTCACAGATCACCGGTTAGTAGGAAAGTTATTTTTTTTACTCTTATTCTTTCTCTTCCCTAAAATATAATCAACACTTTCTCCATCATTATTTCCTAGCTCCTCCACACACATTTACAGCCTTTTTTCCTCTTTGACCCCACTTCCACTGACTTCCTTCTCACTCAGCTCTTTTTACCCCGCTACTTTCAGAACTTCAACATCTACAAAAGGATCTTCACGGACATGGTGAATTCACCTGGGACCAACGGTGCCGAGGCCTACCACAACTGGGCTGACCTTCGGGATGTCCTCTTCAACCTGGTGAGGAAGCCGGGTCCACAACAGTGGACCGCCTGTCCCTGTCCTCGTCTCGTCTTTCAGGCACATAAATCCTTACCCTCTGATGTACTGCACCTGCCTACGTCCAGGTGGCCATCAAGTGACCACTCTATGGCCCTGGTACTCCTCTGAACCCTGACCCAGGCTTTGCTCTCCATCTGCTCCAGTGTGAAAACCTGCTGAAGTCCAGTGAGGCAAACTCTCCAGCACATGAGGAGTTTGAGACGATGCTGCTGATTGCTCATTATTATGCCACTCGCTCTGCGGCCCAGAGTGTCAAACAGCTGGTGAGATGGAGGGGGGAGAAGCACTCAGTCTTATAGATGCTTCTTCAAATGTATGAAGTTGGATGAATTCAAATTCTGGATTCTCAAGCCTAGCCCACTTCTCTCCTAGCTTTTCTTCTGTTCAAGTAACTCTTTAACCCTTGCTGAGATGGTTTTCTCCTTGCCTCCTCTGAACTTCTCAGGGTTCCGTGCCTACACAGCGCAGCTTCATTATGCTTAAACATTCAAATCCCTTGATTTTTTTTTTTTAATATATTTTATTGATTTTATACAGAGAAGAAGGGAGAGAGATAGAGGGTTAGAAACATCGATGAGAGAGAGTCATCAATCAGCTGCCTCTTGCCCACCCCCTACTGGGGATATGCCTGCAACCAAGGTACATGCCCTTGACCGGAATCGAACCCGGGACTCTTCAGTCCCCAAGCCGACGTTCTATCCATTGAGCCAAACCGGTTTTGGCCAAATCCCTTGATTTCTGTACTCAACTCTTATACACACACCTTTGCCCTATTAACAAATTGTATCATTATTTCATGTACTTAGATGATAAAATTGTAAAAATGGAAGAACTTTATACTCTGTGCCCAGTTCTGTGAAGATGAAAATACTAAGACTCAGAATGGCTTGAGATGCAGAGCAGTTTAACAATGATATTGGTTTTCTGGTTCGATGGCTGCCTCAGTCATAGGCTCATCGGTCTGATAGCTCAGTCACTGAAGTGCCAGGGTCACAGAGCTTTGACTTTAATCCACAGGAAACTGTGGCTGCCAAGCTTTCTGTTTCGCTTTTACGTCACACCCAGCTACTACCTGCAGACAAAGCCTTTTATGAAGCAGGCATCGCAGCCAAGGTAAGCTGGGACGAGGAAGGGTGGGGTTAGAGAGAAAAGGAGATCCGAAGTTGGTAGGTAGACTACCCCGGGTGCTCAGGTAGAGCTAAGCTGAGTGCGGAGCAGGTGTTATGGAAGAGTGCAGTTTCCTGTGTCTTTCTGGATTCTTCCCCCTGCATCCAAGCCCAGCTACTCACTTCCGCTTGCAACTTTTCTCTGTTGCAGGCAGTTGGCTGGGAGAACATGGCATTCATCTTCCTCAACCGCTTTTTGGATCTGACCGATGTGAGTAGGGAGGCTGTGCCCAGAGGTTTAGAGGTTTTGCCTGTCACAAACTGGGGCTATCTCATAGCTGCTCACTCTGCCACAGGCAATCGAGGAAGGGACTCTGGATGCCCTTGACCACTCTGACTTTCAGGATACAGACATTCCCTTTGAGGTGCCACTCCCAGCCAAGCAGCACATACCGGTGAGGACACAGGATTGGAGAAGGGGAGGCTGCCAGTGTGAGTGCATTGAGAAGGGGGGGACACTTTAGGATGATCTTTCCAACCCTCTGTACCAGCCATCAGTCCACCTCATCTTTGGAATGATCTCAGTCCTCACTATTCCTAATAGAAGCAGAGGAAAAAGCTAAGGGTGTGACTGACCCTCAATTCAAGGAGGACCATTTATGGATGAAAAGATGACAGCTCGCAACTCCCCCACTAACCATCCTCCCACGTGCCCTGCCCTGTATGAAGCTGTGCTCCCTATGTCCTTCCCAGGAGACTCAGAGAGAAGAGGTTCGAGACTGGGTGCTTACAGTCTCAATGGACCAGCGGCTAGAGCAGGTTCTACCTCGGGATGAGCGAGGTGCCTACGAGGCTTCCTTGGTGGCAGCTAGCACTGGAGTTCGGGCACTGCCCTGCCTCATTACAGGTACAGAACCCTATAGCACCCCATACTCTATGGTTGATAGAAAGGAGGGGAAACCAGCAGGACCAAGAAACTATTTTACTGCCCCAGCTGGTTTGTCTCAATGGATAGAGCACCAGCCTACAGACTGAAGGGTCCCAAGTTCGATTCCAATCAAGGGCACATGCCCAGGTTGTGGGCTCAATCCTCAGTAGGAGGTGTACAGGAGGAAGCCAATCAATGATTCTCTCATCATTGATGTTTCTTATATTTCCCTTCCTCTCTGGAACCAATAAACATATTTAAAAAAATAAAAACTATTTTACTGATTTTGTAAAGGATGCAGAACATCCCTACCCCTAAATTACTGTTTCCCCCTTAATCCCGCTCAAACCCCAATTCATGTTTTTTTTCCCTTTCCCTATAGGATACCCCATTCTGAGGAACAAAATTGAATTTAAGCGGCCAGGGAAGGCAGCTAACAAGGACAACTGGAATAAGTTCCTTATGGCTATCAAGGTTAGAGTGGGGAGACTTGGATGATGGGGTAGGGAGAACAGCACTGAAGAAAACAAAGTAGGATGGTGGGATTGTCAAGAAGGCAGGTGCAGGCTCTGAACCTTGCCTGTTGCCCATACTGATGGAGCTAATTTTAAACTTATAGCACGAATCTTTTTCTCAGCACTGATGAGTTCCTCTGATGTTCTATTTGCTTACAGACCTCGCATAGCCCAGTGTGCCAGGATGTGCTGAAATTCATCAGTCAGTGGTGTGGAGGGCTACCCAGCACCAGCTTTTCCTTTCAGTAATTGGTAGAGCTCAGGAAAGAATATTAAATTTTTTGCTTCATTAAACTTTTGTAACTAACAGAGACCACTGTATTCTTTGATTAAGGTCCCCCAGTGTCCTTTCCCCCCAAATCAGAATCAAGTAGAAAAGTTATTTTATTAAAGTATTTATATCATCCTATGGGTCAGTGGAAAGCCCAGTGGACTGAGCCTCTGGATCAGCACCTGCTTAACAGAAGAGAGAGCCTAGATCAGAGGGCAAGCAGCATAACAAGGGACCAGAACCAATTCTAAAAGTAACCCCTGCCCCTACCCTTTCCCAGGCTACCATCCTCATGGCCCATTACCTGTCCTAAGCCCAACTTTTCTGGAATGCCTGCATTTCTTGATTTTGATCCAGTAGCTGCTCATTATCCTGCCCCTTACATTTAGGATGATCAAGCTCTGTCAGTTGCTCCAGCTGCAGAAGAGGGTAGAGTTAGCACTCTGGCCCTGAATCTGTGTTGAATGACCCCTTCCTGTTCATTTTCCTTACCTGCTCCTGCAGCCCTTCCTTCCTGCAAGGCCCAACCCCACGGAGGGTAAGTGCTGCCACACAGCAGTAACCAGACAGAGCAGCCTCCACTGCAGACATGAGCAAAGAAGGAATCCAGAGAGCCAAGGCTGTATCCTACAAGGTGAAGAAGGATGGAGGGACTAAGAGGGAGCAGGACAGGAGTGGCAAGTTGGGGCGATTAGAGGGGCAGACCAAGGCTTTGAGGACTGTAAAAAAAACTGAGCACACTCACATAGATTCTTGTGGGGTCAAAAGGGCAGTCAGCGTGTCCAGGCCCCTGGTCCAGCGGTAGTAAAGGATCCAGCAGTCCTGGATGGCAGTCGGCAATGAGCCGGCGGCCACCATTGGCCACAGTGAGTGACACAGCAAGGAGGAGGCCCAGAGAGCAGGCGGTGGACAAGAGCAGGTTCACCAGAGCTACTGCCAGCATGGCCCAGTGCTGGCAGGGTTAGAGAATCAGGTGAGCAGCTTGGAGTGGCCCACGTTCCCACTGGGTTTCTCTATTGGGTCTCTTCCTCCCCACTTAAAGATGAAGCTAAGTCAGCCCCCATTGCCCATCTCAAGGCCCTCATCATTAAAACTCCATAAACTACCCTCACCAATCGTGGTTGAAGGAGATTTCTGGACGCCACGAGGGCCACAAGTCCCAGGGAAACACTCTGGAAGACACAAAGCCGAGTGAGGTCCGGAATGCTCTTCGCGCTGCCCGCCCACAACCCGGCCCGCCGCCGCGCTCACCAGCAGCCCTGAGACCACGGAGATGACATTGGCAGCGGTGTACTCGGGGGTGACCGCCCCGCGGGGATTGGCCACGTGCCGCAGGACGGTGCCGTGCAGCACGGCCCCCAGCAGCAGGTTCACGTGGCCCACCAGGATCAGCGCGAGGCCCACGCGCATAAGCCGCCGCGGGCCCCGGACTGCGTCTGCGGAGCAGGGGGGAGGGGCCGGCCTGAGCCCGGGGAGGAACTGGAAAGCCCCGCGCGACCACCCAAGCACCAGGGCCGTGGGACTGGCTGAGGGTGGGTGCAGGAAAACGACAGCAAAGGGGTCTGGGTTACCGAATCTGCAGAGGCGGCAGCCCCTCATCGCGTCCTTCCGCGCCCGCCGCCGGGCAGCTCTACCTGATCGCGGCCCCGCCCTCGCTCGCAGGCAGTTCCGCCCCGGCCCTACCTGGAGGCCCCACCTCCACGCCGGGCGGGGCCCGCGCCCCGCTCCGCCAATCAGGAAGGCGCACACACAGGAGTTTTGCAAAAAGTAGACTTTTATTACAGCAGCAACTGAGGCGAATTGAATGGCCCCCCGGGCCACCACTGCAGCACCACTCCTCTCTCCCGCCCCCTCCGCCCCAGCGGGATTGTAGAATTCTGCTCCCGGCCGTGGGCCTCCTTTCCACACAGGCTGGGCAGGAGCCGGCAGGTCAGCTACGAACCCCCACCTAGAAGGCGGCTGCTGGGGAGGCCCAGGCCCACGTCTGTGCAAAACAAGTAAACAAAGTGCAGAGGGAGGAAGAGAAGGGGAAGGGGAGGGTGATGCTCAGAACCAGGGAGCCCCAAAGCCCTCCTAAGTAACAAAGGAGAGGGAGCCTCACAGGGTAATACTGACTGAGGGGAGGGGCGGGAAGGCTGCAGCGGTCAGTGACAGCCACAGCTCAGATGAGGGGCCTGGCCCGAGGAAGCTCTAAGAGGAGACTGTGACAGCAGCTGAGTTGAGGGTGCTGTTCCTGGCAAAATTGAACTTGTTCAGGGTCTCCTCTAGCAGAGAAGTCAGCCGGCTCTGGTCAGCCTGAGGGAGAAAGCTCAGTGAGCCCTGCTGCGAGAGGAACGGAGGCAGCCCCGCAGCTGAAGGCCGAAACCTCACCTCGCTAATGAAGCCCAGCTGCACCAGCTCAGCCGCCAGCTCAGGGATGTTCTCATCTGACAGAGAAACAGGAAAGCGTGAGTACACGGTGCGAGTGAGAGGCACCGAGCCCTTCCCAGAGCCCCAGTCAGTCTACTCTGGCTGGGAAAGAATGATACAAGCAAAACTATCAGATCCACCCTTAAATTTTAGTGGCTAATATATTTATTTATGTGAGCCAGTGTGCTACTGCCCTGCCACCTTCCCCTTCCCTGAATGTGCCCCTCACAGATAAGGCTCATAGACTCCCATCCTCTGAGGGAAAGGAGACACTCACTTGGCATCAGGTCACAGCTCAGGTGCCGGTTCAGTTTGTCCTCCAGCTTCAGCAGAAGCGTTAGCTGGGGAAGAGGACAGTCAGAAACTGAGGCTCCTCTTCTCCACCCTCTGGCCACCCAACCCTATGCAGCCCTGGCCCTGAGCCTTACGTGGTGTTTGACTCCCTCCTCCACTGACTCAATGTTGCATTGCATCAGCACCACCTGGGGAGAAGGGACCAGGGAGTGACATGGTTGCCAGGGAGCAGAAACACATTCTTTTCTTCAAAGGACAGAGCCTTATCTGAGATATCCTCTTCTCCCTTCCACCATAACCATACCACCATCCATACCCCCATAGCCCACCTTGCGGGTCTCCACCTCAGCTGGTTCAGGGGTTGGAGTCTTGACAGAGGGGGGCACCACTGGTGATGTCACCTCCTCCTGCTGTGGCTGCTGGGGCCGAGGCAGCCCAAAGGCTGTCAGGGGGTAGATCCCATTCCTAAAGGGAGATCAGACAAGCCACGTGGGCTCTATGCATGCCTTAGGACGCCCACCCCTGCTTCCTCAAGAAAGCCGCCTCATTCCCCTCTCACCTGACATCTTCAAGGAACTTATCCAATTCCAGAGCTGGTGACTGAGAGTACCTGGAGGAGAAAGACAGATTATGGAAGGAAGGAAACAAGCAAAACAGGAGATTCAACCATTCCCAGAGAATGGACAGCTGACAGAATCCTAAGGATGGTAGTGACCAATCTGTCCCTTTCAGACTCTCTCAGTTACTCACAAAGTCTGAACTGGTTCTCTTCCTGGTCCTGCAGGGATTTCAGCCAGTACAGCACTGGTATCCATGTTTTTGGTGATCTCCTCCAGTGCATTCTCTGGAATCATGTCTGGAGGGCACGACGGAATGAGAAGTTATCCAAGAATAGTAAGTCTAATGTCATAGAAAGTACAGAGGTCCTGGAGGGCGGGGTTAAGAATCCCTTAGCCCTGGCTGGTGTACTCAGTGGTTTTAGTGTCGACCCAGCAACAAAAGGTTGCAGGTTTGATTTCTGGTCAAGGGCACATACCTGGGTGCGTAAGGCAACCAGTCAACATGTCTCTCTTAAATCGATGTCTCTTTCTCTCTCTCTCCCTTTTCCCCCCCTCCCTCACTACCTTCCACTCTCTCTGAAAAGCAATGGAAAAAATGTCCTCTGGTTTTTTGTTGAGGATTAACAACAAAAAAAGAATCCCTTTCAAAGTACAAGAGAAAAAAAATAGCATGTCAGTGATAGTTATAAGACTCCAGATAAAAAGAAAACTAAGAGGGCCAACAGGACTCACGTTGGTGTCCCACAATGCAGTGGGCAGCAAGGAGTTTCAGTGAGGGCACTTCAAACAGTGCTGGGTGGAACAGTAGTTCTCTGGCTGTTGGTCTTCGAGCAGGCTCAGACTGCAGGCACTTCTGAATGAATTCCTGGAAAAGGGAACAAGAAGTAAAGCAGGCATTTGGCAAGCACCCCGCTGTATTCTTTCTCTCATTATACTTAGCACAGGGCTTTGTATATACTAGGTGCTCTACACTAGTTGAGGAAACCAATTGCTAAATGTTATTGGAAAGGACTTTGAGAACTATAAGGTATTATATAAAAGGTATCATTCACTATCCTTCTGGTTTTAATAATTATTTTTCTGCTCTCCAACCATAAGCTTTCTCTTTTCTTTACTGTTCAAACTTATTTTCCTTATTTTCTACCTCTCTGCTTTATTGGCCCAACTCACTGCCTACTTATCTTCTCCAACCCTCGCCAAATTTATCTTTTCCCAAACATATTCACTGTGGTCAGTAATATTCAACATCCTTTTATTTCCTGAGCCTAGAACCACAATTTCCTTTGTCCACTATACTTATTAAATGCACTGGATTTCCCTATGCCTCTTCTAAATCACCCTTTCCATCTCCATAGGTCCCAGGATAATTAACTTTTTCTCCTTTCAACCTTGAAGGCCCATAATGTCATATTCCTAATCTTTCCCTTGAACACACCACCCCTAACACTGAACTGGAAACTTATTCCACAATAGACTGGGTTTTGGAATGTCCAAAATTCCACAAGATTTTCTTTTTAATATAATTTTATTGATTTCAGAGAGGGAGAGGGAGAGATAGAAACATCAATGATGAGAATCATTGGTTGGCTGCCTCTTGCACATCCCCCACTGGGGACCGAGCACACAACCTGGGCATGTGCCCTTGACTAGAATCGAATCTGGGACCCTTCAATCCCCAAGGGGACACTCTATCCACTGAGCCAAACCCTGCTAGAGCTCAAGACTTTCCATTAATCTTCTTTCGTTTCTCTCCCTTTCACACTTAATGTAATGTTACAAACTATCCTTGTTTGGACACTCCTGTCCTGAATCCCCTTACTGTAGTTTATCTACTGACTCATAACCCTTAGCTCATTATTTAAGGTCACTTTCCTTAACTAAAACTACAGTTGACCCTTGAACAACATGAGTTTGAACTGCATGGGTTCACTTACACTTAGATTTGTTTCAATAAATACCTGTACTGTTTTCAATCCATGGTTGGAGGGGGCAGACAGTATGCATTGACATATGCCATTTATATAGGGTACTTGGGCATCCCCAGAGTTTGGTATCCACAGGGGGTCTTGGAATCAATCCCCTGTGGTTACCAAGGCATAACTTAAGTTTTAGGGGAGTCAAAAGTTATATGCAGATTTTTGACCGCACAGGGGGTGGGTACTCATACCCCGTGTTGTTCAAAGTCAACCGTGTGTGAGTCCCCAAATGACTGATCAAATTAAAACTGATTGATTTAAAAATATCAAGACAGATGTCTTAGAACAAAGGCATTAGGGGTGAGTTAATTATAATTGACCAAATATAGCAGACTAAGTTTTTGGGTTTTTTTAATATTTTTTTTTCATTTTTTTATTAAGGTATTATATTCGTTGCTTTTCAGCAATCTAAGTTTTAAGTTAATACTTCTGTATGGCCCATGAATGATGTTATAAATATCCAAATGGCTGTTGTCAGAAAAAAGGTTCTCTAGCCCTGTCAGAGAGTATACCAATTACCTGAGATAACCATCAAATTAATTTACCTCCATACTGAATTAATGATTACCTTTAACCCCATTATCACCCCTCATAAACCCTGAACTGCGTGTATATACAAAACACACAGTAGTCACCACACAGGGAAATGTTGACTGTTTTTGCATGTCCTTTCTGGTTATGTCCTCTTGCTCTTAGAAGAGAGCACATTCCTAGTAGGTAGAATAGAAGGAAAATTGAAGACATTTCAAAAATCTGTTAAGGAGGAAGTGACCCTGAAGACTCTTACCCTCTGTAATGGGTCTTCTAGAAGCTGGATGGCGCTGCTGATGGCTTCCTGTGGCACATATGAGGAGTCTCCGTTGCCCTGAATCTCCAGCACTGCCATCTGCAGTAACGGGGGATAAAAAGGCAAGTGGAGAACTAAGAACCTCAGTGTTCCAAGTCACTCCCTCAAGACCAGTACTTTGCTTGTCCTCCCCCATGTCCCCTTCCATCTTCTAATTGACCCCTTTCCATCACCCACCCTTCCCTGATGTGGTTTCCTCACCTCTAGTGCACACATGCCAAAGGAGTAGATGTCCACTGCCGTTGTCACATTAGTAACCTCTAAGGAAAACAGAGAAGGCTTTGGTGAATACGGATGGGAGCAGAGTATGGCAGAAATGCCTTTAAAAAAATTTTGTATTCCAGTAGAGAAGGACTAGCAGTTTCAGTGATGTTACTTCTATGGAAAACAGGATGGGGAGAGGGCAGAAAAACTGGAATGCCTCACCTCCATATTCTGGTGCAAAGAAGTGTAGATTCTTCTGCTCTTCCCGACAAGTCTTCACATGATTGTTGATAGTGTCAGGAGCCACTGGGAGTAGGGGAGATACCCACAATCTGACCACCATGAACAAAGCAGTTGCACTCCAGAGAGGCCCCCAAACGCCAAATTCTCTCCTGAAGTCTCCCAACCCTCAAAAGGGCACAAACCCTTTCCCATCAACTACAGACTACACCCGAGCACCACCTACCTCCCCTTTCTCAGGTCTACCACTTCTCATCGAATCCCTAATTCAGTTGCAACAAAGGTTCCACACTAAACCAACAGGTACATGGGGCTTGGGCTAGCCAAGGAGCAATACAGGCTAAGGAAAAACTTTCACTTGTGACCTGTTCACCTTTCCCACAGCCCACATACATCTAATCCCTAATCACAGGGAAATGTCTGATGTAGTTCTTTCACTCCCTCTGCAAACAGCATAAAATAACAGGCAGCCCTTCCTAATCTAGGACCATTTGAGATCTCAGAAACTTAAAAGATAAGAAGGTTTCAACCTCCTTCTTGCCCACCTCTGCTGACTAAAACTCAGAAATAGCTCAAAATTGAACCAATATTCTTGAGTTACTTTCACTTTTAATCCATGAAAAATTTTAGAACCCTTGCTCTATCCCCTTATCCTTTAGCATTGCCTGCCACACAGCTGATGGAGGAACCTGGGTCAGGCCCAATCTGGACTCACTCAAATCAGAAACAATGACTACATGTCACATAGTTTGGGAACACACTATGATTTAGGGAACCAGCCTGATGATGAGGGGAATAAGAATCTAGGATATAAATAGCCAGCCAGGCAACAAGGAAACAAGCAGGTTATGGAAGGGCAAGCAGGTGAACAGCTGGTAGGGCAGAAGCGAAACAGGCATATTTAGGCTGGGGAGGTAGGACAATAGGGGTTGCTCCCACGACTGCATGCACTGGGCAGCCGCAAAGGGGAGCAGAAGGAGCACAAACAGAGCCCCATGTGGGGCAGAGGGAGCTCTCACCATTAGCAAAAATCCTATGAAACACTGTTGGGAACAGAGCAGCCCGTAAGCGGGAGGGAGGAAAACAGAGAAAAGTTGTGAGCGATGGAGCAGCCAAGCCCCAGACAAATGGCCACGCAAATCCCACACAAACACGGCACACAGAGATGTTAGACACTGCACACAGATACACAGCAAATGAAAGCACTCACAGCAGGCACAGTCTGGAACTTGCCTTTGGTAGGGTCCAGCCCCAGAGGATCAAGTTAGACCTTACACCCAACTCTTCCTGCTCTTTCCCAACCTCCTATCAAGATCTCTGATTCTCTGTATTTACATTTCCCTCCAAAAAGCTGTACAACTAGGATCAGGCCCTACACCCTTTCTACTGACAGGCCACTCCCTATGAATTACCCCTAGAAAGGTCCTTTCTCTTATCACCAACCCACACCTCAGAATTTTGTTCTGTTCTCCCCATTCCTTTCGTCTTACCCCCATGTTTCCCAAAATCCCGAGGCTCCCCTGCCCAGAACCTCTCCCTCCCCTCACCAGAGCCAATCTTGATGAGTCCGTTGTGCTGGATGAAGATGGTGTCACAGGTCAGGTTCCCATGGATGATGGGGGGGTCACAGGAGTGCAGGTAGCTGTGGGGGCACTGGGCTGTTAGAGGGGCCACTGGGAAATTAAGGGCAGGGGGAACCCAGGGGTTAAAGAGAGCAAGGGCCTGGTGATCTCCTGCTGGTCACCACAAAGATAGGCCCCACACTCTGAATCTCCATTATGCCTGATGAGTTAAATAGCTGGATAGGCACTGGGAGAAAGAGTTGGGAAACAGTATTGTGTTTAGGGTATTAGGAAGGACCCATTAAAAGACTCATTGGGGCCTAGTCTTGATAGGATACGACTAAAAGTGGGGTGAGGCAGCAAAAACAGCAGAATAATGCTCTGAAATCTCTTTGGAGGAACTAAATCAGGAGACACGGGAAAAACACTAACCAGACCCTACATACCTTAGAGCAGAGAGGATTTGTGTGCACCAGCGCTTCCAAGCCTGGAACAGAGTGAGCAAGGGGCAGCAGTAATCCCTCTCTCAACCCTCTTCACAGTTCCCTCCGTCCCTTCCTGATCAGCTTTATAGTTAATGTAATATTTTTGAAACCCCCAAACCAGCTTAAAACTTTGTTCTCCCTCCATACCTTTTCATTCATAGTCTTGTGGTTCTTTTTGGTCTTCTTCAAAAATTGCTTAAGACTACCAGATGACATGTATTCTGTGATAAAAATGACCTAGAGAGGCAAAGCACACAATGAGGCTTTATAGCAGAAATTATCTCTTGCCTTTATACACATTAACATATATAAATTTGGAAGCTTGGTTTTTTTTGTGTGTGTGTTTTTTTTAAGTTTCTCTTTTTGTTTTAATACCACTTCCTTAAATTTTATTTTAATATTTTTCAGGAATTCCATCTCTTTTTTTGAAATATTTTTTTGATTTTTAGAGCAAGAGAGAAACATAAATTGGTTGACACCCCACAGGAATCCCAAACCTCAACCTGAGCATGTACTCTGACCGGGAATCAAACCAGTGACCTTCCAGTGTACGGACGATGCTCAATCAACTAAGCCACACTTGCAAGGTCCACTTCCTAAATTTAGTAGGAATGAAAACTACTGAGCTATGTATGGGAAGGAAAAAATAAAAGCTCACTCATTTCTGCCCCATCTATAGCCACACAAAAGGCATAGATGATAGTCAAAGCCCTACTCTCATCACCATACCAGTTGATTCCAGTTCTATTTCAAAACTATCTTGTTTTAATGTATGTAAAGTAAAAATAAACATAGCTAGTTTCTTGCAGTAAGCTCAGGAAAAAGTTCTTACCCTGGCCTTGTTCTCTTTAATGTCAGCCCAATACTTGTGAAACTTAACAATGTTGAGATGTTCCAACTGAATCAGATTATCAAACACAGCTCGGACCTTTTCCTGGAGCAGGGGAGACAGTGGGATTATTGGGTTAGAAGTCATTGTAATCCTGAAAAATCATTCCTTATCCCTCCCCAAAATGATCTAACACCAACATACTCTGCTTGGTCAGTTTCCCAACACCAATTCCTCTTTAATTCCAGCATTCTAACACCCCAAAGACAGTTTGTATCATTTCACCATTACCTACCTCCTGCAGCTTGTAGTTCTTGCGCTCAGAGAATTGTACCTCATTCCACACAACCTCTACGCCCTCCTCTGTATCCATGGCCAGGTATGCACTGTCAATACCTGGTACATTCCGCTGATTCACCTAAGAATTCAAATGAAAGGTAATTCTAGTTACCTCATGAGCCCCCACTATTAATACTCCATATGATCATCTTCACCTAGGCTCTGACCTGTAGAAGTTTGGTCTGTACCTTTGAGAATTTGCCCCTCTACTTCTCACCTCTTAGAACTCACTCTCCTAAAAGTGACCCTTCCATCACCTTACCTCTTCTCGCCTCTTCTGCCAACGCCCACAGGGTGACTCTTCCAAGATCTCAGACTCATCTTCGCTTTCTTCTTCTTCTTCCTCTGGGGAAGCAGCTGAGGTCGTGGTGGAAGTCACGGGAGGTGACACTGACGTCAGGCCAGGAGCTGAGGATGAAGATTCTACCTTTGGGTCTGAGCCACTGCTGAGTACTGCCTGGGACTCCCCCTCCGACATGCTGGAACAAACACTCAGGCCTGCATTGGTTGGGGCAAGGATGGATGAAGAAGGCAGAAAGAGTCAGCATAGATCTATAAAGATTTTAGGAACAAATCCTAAAAAACATCATCTGGGATTAAAAAGAAAAAACATACCTCCTTTGTTTCCTTAAAATCCAAACACAGAAATAGTCCTGTCTGAACACTAAAGCCTTAACTACTCTCCTAATCTAGAGAAGAGAAGCTAGTTTGGTTGAAGATGACCCATCCAAGAGTGGCAACACAAGATTTATAGCAATACTAATATAAAGCACCCTTAGTAAAGTCCAAATGAACAGCAAAACCAGGGGCCCAATTTTTTCTCAACAAATATTTGCTCAATAGCCTTCCCTTTGAATCCTCATCTGCCCTATGTGCACTATGCTCAAGAACTAAGCTACATGGACACCAGAACAGATTACTCCAAACCCCCAAATGTCCCACTTATCCAACCCAAAGGCTGGACCTGTAGCACTCTCAGCCAATTTATCTTGTGAACCCCTCAGCTGACTTATTCCACTAGAACTATCTTGGCATTCACTATCCATCCCTCCTACATACACAGGAGCCTGCCAGTCTATGGGGAGGCCACCCTTGGGCCAGGTGACAGGGAGTGGTTAGTGACTTCATCCCTGATGACCTCATCTTCCCTGTGATGTGAGTGTGGCAAATGGGTATTGAATAGCAACATTTTTTCTCATTCACTCATTCAACAGATATGTATTAAGCACTTATTATGGGCCAAGCACTGGGCTAGGTGTTTGAGATACAATGAATAAAAGAAAACGATGTTTATACTCATAGAGTCACAAATTTAAAGCAGATCTCAGACTTGAAGATTCCAGCTTTCATTTCATTCACATGTCTCAAAGGCACCATCCCCTGGGGCACTGGATCTGACATATGTACCCCTTTCAGGTACAAATAACTCAAGATACTGTACATCATTCACCTTCCATGGCTCAAAGGCACCATACCATCCCCTGGGGCACCGGATCCACCTTCCTGTACTCCTTGCAATTACAAGTAGTTATAGGAACAAATACTAAAGTACTATACAGCATAACATTTTTTCAGGGGCATAGCTACTGGAAGAAAAAGATTGCTCAAAAGCTAAAAATCACTAATTGTCCAGATAGTCATAGAACAACCATAGTCTGTTATTCCATTTCTCTAACAACAAAAGGTGTTAAGAATTGGAATCTGTGTGTGCTGGTCTCGAGGGAGTGCTCTCCAGTACGAAAATATCCTGGAAAGTAGAGTTGGTCCTCACAGTTAGTTCAGAATACAGATCTCTGATCAACACCAATCTTTTGAAAAAACCTTATTTCTTTTAAGAACTTGAGAATGCCCCCTTCTGTCCATCTCTTCCCCCAACCTATACTGTTTTTTTTATTAAAAAAAATACATGTTTATTGATTTCAGAGAAGAAGGGAGAGGAAGAGAAAGACAGAAACATCAATGAAGAGAATCATTGATTGGCTGCCTCCTGCACCCCCCCCCCCTTACTGGGGGATCAACCAAGCAACCCAGCCATATGCCCTGACTGGAATTGAACCCAGGGCTCTTCAGTCCACAGTCCAATGGGCTAACCTACACTACTTTTAACTCAAGTCAGGAGATTTTTATTAGATGACACCCTACTAAATACCAGGGAGCAACAAAGCATATATAGAAAATCTGGCAAGATAGTATTTCACTATGGTATTTTCTAGGTTCTTGACTATCAAACATTTTTATTCAACCAGCCAGAAAAGCTATAATGTGAATGTGTTAGTAATCCACCAGAATATGAGTTAACTTTGGTTACTTTCTAGAGTAGCTATTAATATAGAATATATCCGGAATCCGAACAGCTAAGTGAAATTTCCAGCTTGACTACAATAGGAAATACCAGTGTAGCCAATAGACTCTAAAGAAACCTCTGGCCAAAACCGGTTTGGCTCAATGGATAGAGCGTCGGCTTGGGGACTGAAGGGACCCGGGTTCGATTCCGGTCAAGGGCATGTACCTTGGTTGCAGGCATATCCCCAGTAGGGGGTGTGCAAGAGGCAACTGATCGATGACTCTCATCGATGTTTCTAACTCTATCTCTCTTCCTTCCTCTCTGTACAAAATCAATAAAATATATTAAAAAAAAAAAAAAAAGAAGAAGAAGAAGAAGAAACCTCTGGACCCAGAACAGACTATTAATCCACAGCAGGGCACCACAAGAAAAGCCAAGGTTTCATCAATCATAGGATGCCCTTTGCATGTGCTTGTATTCTCCCTCCCCAATCTTTCCCCACAGGCAAAATAAAGGCAATGCCAAGACCCCCCATCACTCCCTCTCCTGATGAAGAAATCTTGGCGACGCTGGGAGTTTTGCCCAGGGTCGTTCAAAGGTTTGAATAAACCACGTAAAGAAAAGGCCATTTACGCCCCTAAATGACTCTTCTCGCCGCCTCCAGCCACCCCGAGATGCACAGTGTGCTCATTTCTGAGTAATGTGGGCAGATCATCCCGCAAAGTTTTTCTCCGAGACGTCCATTCCTTGGACCGCAGCCCCTCTGCATAGCAACTCCTCAGCCAAAAGCTCGGAGGCCGCAAGCCTCTGGCTGCGCTCACCCGGATCGGGCCAGCGGGGCCTCTGAGACAGATCTAAGGCTCTGCGGCCAGAGGCACAGCAAGCTCGGGAGGAATTTCACACACCAACAGGTCCCCCGCCAGGGGCCGGCGGGGGAACGCGGCCCCGCAGGCAGGCCGGCTGCCGGCCGGCCGGGAGCGAGCGCGGCCACCTCAGCACCGAGGCCCGCGGCGCCGCCACGGGCGCAGGCCACGCCCCCGCGCCGGCAGCGCGCCGACCCGCGAGCAGGCGCGCCCCGTGGCTGCGCTTCCGCAGGCCGCCCGCCCGCCCGCCCGCGCCCCCGCCCCCGCGGCCAGCCCCGCCTCTCGCAGCCGGAGTTGGACAGGAACGCCGGACCTCGCGCCCAGCGCCGGCAGGGTTCCGAGCCGCCGCCGCCGCCCGGGGGAGGTGACGAGGGCCCGGCTATGACTGTAGAGCCCAGGCCGGGCCCTCGGCTCCCGCGGGCCGGGCCAGGGCCGCCGAGTAAGCAGGGCCGCCTCCAGACACCCGCCTGCCGGGGTCCCCCCGCCCCAGGCCGCCGAGACCGACACTTCCATCGTTTCGCAAGACCCCATCCACCCGCCCCAGCCCCCCTGGGCGCTCACCTGCCGACTCGGCTTCCCGCAGCCTGCGCTTCAGCTCCCGCTCAGGTTCCGGGGCCGCAAAGCCGAGAGCCTCCCTCACAGCTGCGCTCCGCGGCGCAACCGAACTGCGGGCCCCGCCCTCCCGGCGTCCCGACCAACAGATGGGCGGTGCCGCATTGCCGCCGCGCTTCCATTGGACGAGGACGCGGGAGAGGGCGGTGCCTCGGAGAGATGGTCGCCGGCCCGGATCGCTTTCCACCCGCTCTCCTCCCCTTGAGCTTGTCCGGCCGAGACCTCTCCGAGGCTTCGGTCTTTTCGGTCTCAACTGGGGCTCATCTCTGTCCACTCCTCCGTCCATTCCAGGTGCCCCGGGAGGTTTCGCTGGACGAAGGGAAGGCCTTCTCCCTCTCTTTGAAGGCGCCATGACAGTTTCTGTCCGACTAAAAGACAAAAGGAGCCAAAGAAGTAGCTTCAGTTCTGGAGGAGCGCCCACCCACTTTCATTCAGTGGGGAGACTTCGCAGAGCTCCAGTTATTCAGAAAGCTTTAAAAACTTACTGAACACATTAACGCTGAACACAGTTGATGTTTTGTGATTGCATAGCACTGATATTTGCCAAAACTTTGTCAAAGCTTTTCACAGATGTTTATCTCATTTGCCCCTCATAAGAAATTGAAATTATCATTCAATGATAGTGGACAACTGCAAAAAATCTGAACCAGAGGCATTAAGCTATTTACCGAAAATTGGTAAGCGTCAAATCCAAAACAGTAAGACTCATCAAATAAGACTTCCTTGAAAAGAAGTTTCAAGGGGGAAAGATTCTGGGAAACCCCCGTAGATGTGCTAAAACCAAATCCAAAGCCTGAAGGATAGCAGTTCACTCTGCCCTTAGACACCTATTATGGAGGGAGGAGGATAAACCCATCATCAGAACTTGGGAATGTCATAATCACCAAATTTCATTGTCCTTAAAGGGAATTTCTAGGTCTACTTAACTGAGAGGAAAAAAGGAAACTGGCAAAAGCCTCTCCTTTTCTCATCTCTTCACTTCAAAATATTGATTTTAAAAACCATCGAAAGAGAAGGCTCTAACACTTAGACATCTGCTATAAGTTATGGACCTTGTTTTGGATTTACCCACCAAAGTTGACATACAATTTCAGGTAGTTGACATTATAAATATTTGTCCTAATCTCAAAGAAAAGATGTTTCTCCTCTTCTGATTAACCTTTTCTTTCTGTGAGCTCCAAAGCAATTGGAACACTTGGCCTGTGGGTATACACTCATTAAATATCAGTTGATTTTTTTTTTAAAGGGAGGAGTAGGAGCTTCCCTTTTTTGTAATGTATTTTTATTGATTTCAGAGAGGAAAGGAGAGGGACAGAAACATCAATAATGAGAGAAATTCATTGATTGGCTGCTTTCTGCATGCCCCACAATGGGAATCAAACCCACAACCCCGGGGCATGTGCTCTGACTGGGAATAGAACAGTGACCTCCTGGTTCATAGGTCAATGCTCAATCACTGAGCTACGTCAGCCGGGCTGATAGTATTCTTATAGTTTCCCATTGCATTCTCTCTGGGCCATAGCATTTACAACCTTCCATTTTCAATTAGCTCCTTTCAGACATGCAGAAGACCCTTAGAGTTTAGCAGATACACACCTGTGGGGGAAGAAGAGGGGAAAGGTGTAGGTGGTGCCAGAACAAAATTTTTCAATTATACTGTAGTCCATCTTATATTTTTGTTATTGTTGTTAATCCTCACCAGAGGATTTTTAAAATATA